CAACCTCCACCTCTCAGGTTCAAGCAGTTCTCCTGCCTCAGGCTCCCGAGTAGCCTGGACTATAGGCATGTGCCACCACGCCTGACTAATTTTTGTATTTTTAGTAGAGATGGGGTTTAACCATATTGGCCAGGCTGGTCTTGAACTCCTGACCTCTTGTTCTGCCCGCCTCGGCCTCCCAAAGTGCTGGAATTACAGGGATGAGCCACCAGGCCTGGTGCCTGTCTTTTAAGTCATTGTGCATGTAGAAAATCCAAGTATCTACTAAGCAACTGTTAAGATTAATTTAGAAAAGTCACTGGGTGTAAGGGCAATATGGAAAAAATCCGTTTTATTACATATTTATTAATTATTATTATTTTGAGATGGAGCTTTGGTCTTACTGCTCAAGCTGGAGTATAATGGCACGATTTTGGCTCACTGCAACCTCAGCCTCCGAGGTTCAAGTGATTCTCCTGCCTCAGCCTCCCTAGTAAGTGAGACAACTGGTGGGTGCCACCATGCCAGGCTAATTTTTTGTTTGTTTTTGTTTTTAAGTAGAGATGGGATTTCACCATGTTTGCCAGGCTGGTCTTGAACTCCTGGCCTCAAGTGATCTGCCCACCTCAGCCTCCCGAAGTGCTGGGATTACAGGCTTGAGCCACTGCACCTGGCCCTCACACAATGCAGTTTCTAGAAGAAAACAGGAAAATGTCTTCATGACCTTGGTGAAGGCATGAAAAGTGGAAACATCCTGTTTTCCAAACAGGATATGAAGAGCACTAAGTACAAAAGAAAAGATGGGCCGGGTGCAGTGGTGCATGCCTGTCGTCCCAGCTACTGAGGAGGCTGAGGTGGGAGGATCGATTGAGCCCAGGAGTTCTGGGCTGTAGTGCGCTATGCCAATCGGGTGTCTGCAGTAAGTTTGGCATCAATATGCTGACCTCCGGGAGCGGGGGACCATCAGGTTGCCTAAGGAGGAGTGAACCAGCCCAGGTCGGAAACGGAGCAGGTCAAAACTCCCGTGCTGATCAGTAGTGTGATTGCACCTGTTAATGGCCACTATACTCCAGCCTGAGCAACATAGCGAGACCCCCGTCTCTCTCTCTTTTTTTTTTTTTTTTTTTTTTTTTTTTTTTTTGGAGACAGAGTCTTGCTCTGTTGCCCAGGCTGGAGTGCAGTGGTGTAATCTTGGCCCACTGCAACCTTCGCCTCCCGGGTTCAAGTTATTCTTCTACCTCAGTCTCTTGAGTAGCTGGGAATACAGGTGTATACCACCATGCCCAGATAATTTTTGTATTTTGGATGGAAATGGGATTTTGCCATGTTGGTCAAAGTGGTCTCAACCTCCTGGCCCCTGATAAAGTCCGATTTTGAATCTTCGCAATTGGGCTCTGAATCCATGCCCTTAACCCATTCTGCTCTCTGTTTGGTAGCGTATCCAGTATGCCAAGACTGACTCAGATATCATTGCCAAGATGAAAGGCACCTTTGTGGAGCGGGATCGAAAGCGGGAGAAGAGAAAGCCCAAGAGCCAGGAGACCCCAGCTGCCAAGAAGGCTGTGCAGGGCGGGGCAGCTGCCCCCGTGGTGGGAGCCGTGCAGGGGCCTGTCCCGGTAAGCCAGACCCAGTAGACCAGCCCTCCCACTGACAGGCTTTCCTTAGCCACATAGACTGGCTTTGGGACAGGGTGGGGAGAGTTCTCTCCTTGGGGCTTCAGACTCCTCCTTTCCATTTCCTTATAGAGATTATGTGTCTGTCTGTTTTTGGGGGGTGTTGAGTACCTAGATGATGCTATCTCCACTCAAAACTCCTGTTCCCTGTCTGTGTGACTGTTTCTCAAGGTCTTTCTTTCTTCATGGCTGTGGCTTGGTATCGCTGTCTCCTTGGTCTTGATTTTGTTGCCTGTGTCTATTTTTTTTTTTTTTGAGACAG